TGAAATTTTATAAATCAGCTCTCAGGGTTGATGGGAAGGGAGCACACTACAGCTAAAATTGTAGGTCGGATGTCTCTTACAGGAGACCTCTGACAAAGCAAGAGGATGAGAGAGTTGGGCCATCCTTTAAGTATCTGATACCTGCCACTCCCTGCTCACATCTCTGTGGTTTTCACCTGATTCTGATAAAAAGGGGCCTGCAGGTTGCACTCTGTCAAACATAGTGATCCCAGAGCCGGGCTATGTTGTACCAGAGGGACCTGATGTTCTAGGATAGAAACCTCTCTCGTAGGGAGCAGCCCCAACTAAGTTAATGATTGTCTGAAAGAAAGTAGAAAGAAAGTATGTTAATTTATGGCACCCTCTATGTTGGAACAGTGTATGGCAGTGTACATTATGGAAACAGAGTGGGAAGGTAGGTGATGTTGAGGTCCCCCCCTCCCCAAATGGCCACTATTTCATCTTTTAAGCACCTCTAGTATGTCCGCTGATGTGAAAAATGTCAGGAAAGAAACTGATTAGATTTAAACATCAAATAAAAATAGAGTCATCATAGAGGTTTTTCAAACCACTTACCCATCTGTTTGGTAATTTACCTTTTTCCTTGGTGCATTAGGTCAAATGCCTCATTGATTTTGTCAAAAGGCAGGGTATGGGTCACCAGTGCATCCAGGTTGAATTTCTTATTCTTGTAATCAGTAACCAGCTTTGGGATTGAATCTCTACCTTTGCAACCTGTAATTTGGCCAAAAGTCTTAATAAAGATGTGGTACTTGACATGAAGAAGTAGTTTCATCATTGTCCATTGAGTGAATGAAATTATTTTGTCAGATTGGCTTCCTCCAAATAGATTAAAACCCATATTTAATTTTTCTATACTTTTATTTACCTTAAATTTTTCTTCATAGGAGAAATTCAAGATTATTTTTATTTCTGCCTAAGAAATGATCTTTGTTTGGTCCAAGTTTGACTTTTGTTTTTGTTGGTTTATTTTAATGCAAATTGAACTTCTATTTGCAAGTTGTAGTATTTCTACTATACAAACTGTTTACTTTGAAGTAATTAATAGAATAGCTTTTATGTAGTCTTTAGATGCATTCTAGGCACTCAATATTTAAACAAGTTATTTTCCTTCCCTTTTAATAATTTTCACTGTAACAATTTGAGTACTAATATGGAGAAAATTAGCAGAAAAAAATGACAACACTGACCACCAAATAATGTTCCATTGATAGTACGGCCCATTAGTATCTCTATTGGAGAAACAGTCAATCCTTTGTCACCAATGGCTACTCCAATGAGCGTACACGATCCCCAACCTACTGTTGTGCAGTCCAGGGCTGCTTTCTGGAAGGTCAAACAAAAAAGATCAGTCGAGTAGGTAGAAAGGTAGACCATGTCTTCAGTGTGCCTATGTACTGGATTTCAGAGAAAATTTATACATTCTGTATCCTATATAATAAAAGCCTAATATGCTAAGTGTCCAGTTGGTTGTTCAACCAATCAATGCATAATATGCTAATGATATGCTAAGGCCACTCAACTGCTCGCTATGACGTGTACTGATCACCTGGGGGCAGATGCTCCGACCGGTAGGTTAGCTTGCTGCTGGGGTCTGGCCAATCGGGTCTGAGATGGACCGAACATGGCCTGGAGCCCTCTGTGACCCCTCCCCAGCTGGCCAACCTCCTGTGTCCCTCCCCATCCCCGATTGTGCACCAGTGGGGTCCCTCGGCCTGGCCTGCGCCCTCTTGCAATACCGGACCCCTCAGGGGATGTCGGAGAACCGCTTTTGGCCAGATGGTGGAACAGCCTGTTGCTATGATGCACATTGACCACCAGGGGCAGACACTCAATGCAGGAGCTGTCCCCTGGTGGTCAGTGCACTTCCATAGGGGGAGTGCCGCTTAGCCAGTTTTGTGGCAGCACTAAGGATGTCCGACTGACGGCTTACGGGGGGAGCAGGCCTAAGCCATCAGTCGGACATCCCTAAGGGCTCCTGGACTGCGAGAGGATACAGGCTGGGCTGAGGGACCCCCTCCCCCGAGTGCAGGAATTTCATGTACTGGGCCTCTAATATGAAATAAAGGGAGTCAAGCACATGAGGTCATTGTGTTGTAGACTGACGCTGGAGGATTTGTTTCAGATAGAACATTCAATAAAATGTTGAGCTTCATAAAAAAAGGTATTAGAAAGAAACAGAATATATTATTTCATCTTGTTTAATATCATAATTATGCTGAATCTATGACATATATCATTGTATACTAAGAAAAATTCACCCCCATGAAATTAAGAATGGTCTATAGAAGATATTCTAAACTCAAATGAACATACTTTTGACTATTTACCAAGGGTGTATTGTAAAAAGTTTGCAATTTCGGGGGCATAGAATAAAAATCTTTAAAGTCACGAGATGAGGGTGATTATTCACAAGAGCCTGGGATGAGGCATATACTGTAAAGTTAGTGGATCTCTATGTAGGATAAATGAAAAGAAAAGCCATTTAAAATAGAGGGCAAAACAGTTAAAATGACTCTGGCTGCTGCTCATGAAACATTTCATTTGCTTCCCTACATTTTTTAAAGCTCTCTGCAGGACTTATGTGACCAGTTCTAGCCAATGGGCTTTGGGCAGAAGTGATGTGTCATTTCTTGGCCTAAACAGAAAAGCCAGTGTGCAGCCTGCCAGGTGTCCCTTCTCCGGCTACAACAACCAAGAGGACCTCATGTTGACATTGTGAAGCCACAGATTTGAACTTCCTTGACGGGTGACTCACAACATAGGAAACAGTGGCAGCGGGGGTGGAGGGGAGTTGCATTGATGTTTGCATGCGAGAAAGAGAGGATATTGTTATTTTAGCCTATTGCAAGTTTGGGATGAAGATAAAATTCCCAAGGATTAATAATGTAAATAAGTTTAAGAAAGATATAACCTGTGGATGGCCATTCCACTTAGAAGCCCAATGGTAAATAGATAAATAGCTAAAATGTTTTGAGACAAGTATTATTCTATATAATAAAAGCCTAATATGCTAAGTGTCCAGTTGTCTGGTTGGCCAATAAAAGAGTAATATGCTAATGACATGCTAAGGTTTCTCAAGCACTTGCTATGATGTGCCCTGACCATCAGGGAGCAGACAGTCAAACGGTTGACCAGTCACTATGGTGTACACTGACCACCAGTGGATAGATGCTCCGACCGGTAGGTTAGCTTGCTGATGGGGTCCAGCTGATCAGGACTGAGCAAGATGGACTGGACATGCCCTGAAGCCCTCCTGCAGTCCCTCCCTGGCCCTGATCCTGCACTGGTGGGGTCCCTTGGCCTGGCCTGCGCCCTCTCACAATCCAGGCTGAGGGCCCCCTCCACCCTGAGTGAATGAATTTCGTGCACCAGGCCTCTAGTTAAAGAGAAATGCAAACTTTTTGCCATATCCCTTGCCATAGTCAGGGGGCAACTTGATTTTGACCTGTTGGGGCAGTGTTTACTTTTACAGAAGTTCCAATAGGAAGTACAGTTCCTTTTCATCCCTGATCACTATATGAAAAAAGGAATTTGAAGTACAGTAAATTCTCTCTATCTTCTCTCTCTCTCCATCTGTGTCTTACTAGTGACAGAAGACACAATGACCTAGAACTTTAGGAATATGTTTTCAAATTTTTATTTGACTATATGCTTATTTATTGTTTTGAGAATTTGTAACATTTCTAAATAGAAACTTCTGCTTTTTGCAATTCTTATATGGCAGAATTATTATTGTTTATATCTACAATATAGATCCATGTTGAGGGGAAAAGAGCACAGGTACTACTGGTCACCTTGAGGTAGCTGCTTACAATGATTTCTGTTTTTTATTTTTATGTTTTTCCTATTGCTTGTTCTACATTTCTGAGCTTTGCTCCAAGCAAGGATTTAACCTCCATAATGATGACTTAGTTCAATGGGTATTATGTGCAAGTTCAGGGTTTTATTTAGTATCCTTTGATAACTTTTGATCAGAATTATTTTAAATTCTCAATATCTTATATAATTGTCAATTATTGTAACTTTCTAATTGTTCTGTTTGGTTCTTTAGGCTGCCCTAGAGCATGAGAAATCATTGAAATCAGTTTCATAGCCATTAGTGGAATCTCCTTTACAGCCTAGAAAATTAACTTTCTGTACTTATGGAAACTTTTGGTGAACGGGTAGGTAGCTAGCTCATCTTTTTGTGATTAACAAAAAAATGGCATCTTTTAAAATTTGGGTTCTTTGGTGTAATTCTATTCCATAATTTAAAATACATGTCTTGGTATAATAAATCAGTTAATAAAAGAACCTGCAAGTTTCAGGTCAGTGTTTCTCAGCTTGAGAAACTTGTAAAAAATATTGGTACATGAGCCCCCAGCTGGTATTAACAAACAACAACGCCCCAGGCACTTATAAAGTAGCAAGTGTTGAGAATATCTATACTCTGGAAATAAGGTAAAGAGGCGGAATTTCAATGTTTGTAAAAAGTCTGAGCTGTGGAAAGAGTAGGAATGAATGGGTGCGGCACATCGCAAACTGCAGGTGAGAAGGACAATGTGGAAAGCAGGGCCTGACACAGAAGCACTGCAGGACAAGGAGCTGCTGATGAATGAGTTTTCAGGAAGAGCTAATCTTTACCTCAAGACTAGATAGAGGTAGCTTCTCAGGCCCTGCAAGTCAGGGAGCCGACCTGAGAGGAGAGGAAACCTGAATGATACAAAATGGTAGTGTTTGAGAAGAAAATGTTTACTTTTAATTTTGCAGCATGTGTGTATTTAATATATTAAAAATGTCAATATGTACTTTGGACCTAATTTTGCAGCCCTTTATGAGGTCTGGCAGACAGAATGGATTGTGTGTAGGTTGCTGGCCTCTCCCTGCTTTGCTTTTTGATGGGAGTGTGTACCTCGGGCTGTTCGGGTGACACCAGCCACATTCTCTTACTCCTCCTTTAAGTCTGCCATTTCTGTTCTCATTGTTTTGCTCATTTCTTGCAGGCACAATTCCTTAAAATTTTTCACTTTTAAATTTTCTCTGAATTTCATGTGGAAGAATAAATATATAATAACATTAATATTAAGTAGCCATCTGTAATATTTATTAATAGATATATATCAATTATAACACACTATATAATATCCAATACATTAATAAATATTACTATGTACCAATATAAAAAACATACATACCATGGCTTCAGATCCACCTGCACAGTCAAGTGCAAAATCCACACCCCCACCGGTCATTTCAATGATGACCTCCTGGACGGGCTTCTGTAGGTCTCTAGGATTGAGGCAGTCAGTGGCTCCAAGGGCTTTGGCCTTTGCAAACTTCTCACTGTTGATATCAACAGCTATGATTCTGGAAGCTCCTGCTACTTTACAACCGATTAAAGCAGAAAGGCCGACACCTCCCAGGCCAAAGATGGCACAAGTAGAACCTGGGGTAACCTGCAGGCAGGAAAATCCTAAGTTAAGCAGCTGGTCCCCCCTTTTTAAAGGTACAGAGTGAGGTGGGGGCAGGAACATATAAAGGACTGCCTGTCATAAGACTAAGGGATTTAGCCACTTGGGGAAATTTACCAATGTAAAAATGAATGAATCACTGACTAAACTTGGAGAATCATTTGAGGGCTGTTAGGATCATCAATTTATAAGGAAACCATTTCCTTGTTTTGATTTCCCATTTAGTGGTATCAGAACAAAATCTGAAAGCTCACACACTGTAAAGGGTTTATTGTTTGCCCTTTTAAATAGATCACAAGTAATTTGATGTCCATATTTCTAATAGGTCTTATTTGGTTGTGTTAATGTTATATTTTTTAAAAAAGTATATTTTTATTGAGATGAAGGGAGAGATAGAAACATCAATGATGAGAGAGAATCACTGATTGGCTGCCTCCTGCATGCCCCACACTGGGTATTGAGCCCTCATCCTGGCCAGTGCCCTGATCAGGAGTCAAACCATGACCTCCTAGTTTATAGGTTGAAGCTCAACCACTGAGCCATGCCGGTTTGGCATAATGTTATAGTTTTGATGACCGCTAATATTTCTCTAAAGGTGAAATAACTCAGTGATCTCAATGATCAATTTATTTAATTTGAATAGATCCAAATTTCCTTGCATGGCATTGGAGGATTTTTATTATCTGGCCCCTATTCCATTTATTTTTATCTCCATGATATTCTCAGTATTGCAGCCTCAACAAACTGTCTCACTTTCTTTTCCTCATGTCTTAGGTCATGCTGTTTCTTTAGCCTGCTGTACTTTTCACCTTATTTTCTATAATGAAAGTAGTAACCTATGTTTTTGGCCTACGGTAAGACTCTCCCCACAAATCTTTTCTTTATAATTGAATTAGAAAGTAGTACCAACTGGAATATGTTACTCTGGAGAGTGAGGTAGTGGCAACAACAACAACAACACTGCATAGAGAGATGCTTACTATTACTATTTTCTCATGATGATGGGAAAGTTTTAAAATTAAAGCATAAACAAAAGGGAAAGAAGAAAATCTGTCCATGAGAAGTATTGGGAACAAAATTACTAGGAGAAGTGGCATCATTGGTTGTGATTTGGTGGGGTGTCGCTCTGGGGTTGTGGCAGAGCCTGTGTTCCACTTAGGGGAAGCCGAGTATTGGTTTGTTGGTGCCAGGTCTATGGTGCTGTTTATTTTTAAATGGCCAGTGCACATCATGGCTGCTCCTGCATCGAGTGTCTGTCTCCTGGTGCTCAGTGTGTGCCATAACTACCGATGGGAGGGAAGGATGACACTTAGCCTTTTATATATATATATAGACTAGAGACCCAGTGTACAAAATTTGTGCACTCGTGGGCGGGGTGGGGGGAGTGGTCCCTTAGCCCGACCTGCATCCTCTTGCAGTCTGGGAGCCCTTGGGGGATGTCTGACTGACGGCTTAGGCCCGCATCCCTAGAGCTGCCACAGAGGAAGGAGGAGCTCCCACCACTGCTGCTGTACTTGCCAGCTGTGAGCCTGGCTTCTGGCAGAGTGGTGCTCCTCCTGTGGGTGCGCACTGACCACCAGGGGGCAGCTCCTGTGTTGAGTGTCTGCCCCCTAGTGGTCAGTGTGCATCATAGCCTTTTATTATATAGGATTACTGATACTTCCCTTTCCTTTACTTGGTCGTATATCAGATTTATTTTTCTTCTTTCAGCATCTCCTGAGGTGGTTTAGTTGTTCCTCAACAATGGAAATAACATGGGAATTTAGATAAGCTTTGGCTAGATTTAAAAGTAAACTGTAGCTGAATCTCTAGTGTTAATATTCCTGAAAAAAGATTACAGTAGTAGAAGGTGAGCATCTGCATGGATTCCAGAAAAGGGGATGTGTCTAACCCCAAGAGCAATAATTCTTCCCTGAGAGGTCAGTGCCGTCTCCAGGAGAATGTGCTTTGACTGCCAAGGTCACATAAGCTGTTAACATCACCCACCTAACACACTTCCTCCAGGACCCTTCCCATACAACTTTTAATTTTTATTAATGAGTGAATAAGTGAATGAATGAATGAACAAGTGATATTTTAGAGGGGGGTAATATGCTGATGGCCAAAATTCGCATCCCTGTGTGCTTGGCCAATATAATTCTCAATGAAAAGTCAGACTTTGATATTCCGGTTACTAAATCAGCTTCTTGTTTTCATTAGGATGACTTTGCTTCCTTGAAACCCAACAACTCTAGGCAATCTGATAAACAGAAATTTTTGTTCCAAAACTGAGGGTGGAACTTCACCAAGATGTTTTAAGGGTTGCATATGAACCTAGTTTTGTTCATTCATTCACTGAAAGATTGTCACATCCCTAGTATGTGACAGGCACAGGGTTAGGCTCCAGAAACACCACAATGAATAAGAGAGTTCTTGCCTTCAAGGAGCAAATAGTTTCATAGGAAGGAGAAATGGGAGATTCCTCCATAGTGTGATAAGGTAGACAGGAATAAACATGGATACTTTGGGGAAAACTGCAAGGGGCACCTAATTCATGCCCAAAGGACTGGAGCAGTTTTCCAACAGGAAGTGGCAAATACAAAAAGCCAGCCAGAAACGGTGGGGGAGCTCTCCAGGCAATGTTGATTGGGAGCAAAGTGTGCAAAGCCCAGAGGCCATAGTGACTGGAGGCCAGGCTGGACAGGGAAAAGTAGGGAGAACCACCGCAGCATCCATAAGGAAAAGAGGAATAATGGAAGGGGGGTGAAATAGTCATATGTGTTGTTTAGAAAGGCCAATTTTAGTTGCAATTTGGAGTCAAGGGATGAAGACTGATGTTAAGGAGATTTAAATAAGGAGATTGTTTGAGGGATACTGACATCTCTCTAGTCTCTGAGTTAAACAGCTTTGAAAAGCTTATAAATTCTAACATGGGTCTCAGGGACATACCTTTCCACCATTAGGGCTGCCATCTGAGACCCTGCACTGGAGCCACAAAAGGATAGGGAGAGAAGCAGAGATGAATTACTACAGTTTAGGGAGGACTCTGTACCCTCAGGGAGAAAGTAGGCGTGGCCATGTGGAGGTGGGTGGGGTCTCTGCAGTTTGTATCCTCTTCTGACTAGGTCTGCTGTCTCAGGATGAGGATTCATATTTAGAGGACATATTTGAGCAGGCTGTTATTTAAATTAGGGCTGACCTATAATATAACGTACTAGTAAAGGAGAAGAAATTGACATGAATTGGGTGCCAACTATACGTCACCCACCGGGCCAGATGTCTTACATATGCAATATGATTTAGTTTTCCCACAGTAATTTGTAATAGATATTATTATACAGAAGTGAAGAGTTTAGATAACTTGCCTAAAATCACAGAGATGATAAATACAGAACCAGGGTTTGAAGATAATGCTAGCTGCTTTATCACGCTGACTCCTAATAACTTCTGTTTTATAGAACGTGGTAATTAACCATTTTACCTTGGCAGTGTTGATTGCAGCTCCATAGCCAGTTGAAAACCCACATCCAAGCAGACAGACTCTCTCTAAATTTGCATCGTCATCTATTTTGGCCAGATTAGTATCTGACACGACAGTGTACTGAGAAAAGGTACTGGTCCCTAAGAAATGGTAAACTGGTTTTCCTTTGCAAGTAAACCTGCTGGTTTTGTCTTCCATTACTTCTTGCTGAATAATAGGATCTTTGAATTGACTAGAGAATTTTAAAAAAGATACAAAAAAGATAAAGTAAATGGATCACTGATTACTTTCCTAAAAAAAAAGTTAGGCATTATGTATTAGTTATGACAATTTTAAGATATGAAAAAATTGAGAAAATCACTTGGGACTTTTTGCATACACACACACATACGTACACACACACACACACACACACACACACACACATATATATATATATAGTCTCCAAAAATGTATATACAATTTAACAATTGATAACTCACTTAATTTTTCACTCCTTTTCAGGTTTAACATTTAAAATAATGGGTGAAGCCAGACTAAGCTTTGAGCAAAGAAAACTTATTTTAAAGTGCCACTAGACTTTTGTAATGGGGATATATAAAAGATAAAGTTTAGGGTACAAAACCAGCAACAGTAAATGAATTGAGGGCATACAAATACCGACATAATGATTCTTGATGTTTGCGATTCCATTGCTTTGCATTATCAGCAGTATCTGGACCAGTATGATCATCAGTTTGAAAACAGGCATTGACAAAAAAATTATTCATCTCTGTAGATTCTTTTAAATTTTGAAAATGAACTGTACATTAATAAACACTGACTTTATCACCATTCAAAGTGTGTATACATTTTTTTGGGATACCCTGTATATATATTGAATATGTATAATAAATTTTGTCATTATATATCACATAAAAACATAATTTATTTATTGTAGATAATATATGATTATATATAGTAAATATAATCCCATACGATGCAGTGTACGGCTAATTTGCCTACAACCGTCAGGTGGTCATAATAATCTGGCCACTCACGTTCAAATATATCCCACGTTCAAAGGCTGTTAAATGGCATTGTTTACCCATATCTTCAGAAAAAAATCACTTCTACTGTCGTGGTAAACAACCTGCTTCCCTATTGATAATGGTCTGGCCCTCTAGCAACTTCAGCCTGAAATTATAGCTGCTTTGCCTACAAACGTCAGGTGGTAATAATAATCTAGCCACTGAGTGTAAATAATATATCAAATATAATATAAATAATATGTATAATACATAATATAATATGATATAATAGAGGTCATCTAAAGATAGTAATAACAATAAACTTAAAAATTTTATTTATTTTTCAATCTTTATTGTTGAGAGTATTACAAATGTCCGCCCTTTTATCCCCCTAGCCCCCTACCACTGGGTTCCCACTCCACCTCCAGGCTTTTACCACGCTATTATCTGGGTTCATGGACAATGCATATATGCATATAAATTCTTTGATTAATTTCTTACCTCCCCCCAACCCCATTCCCTCTGAGATTCATCAATCTGTTTTGTTTCCATGCCTCTGGTTCTATTTTTTCACCAGTTTATTGTGTTCATTAGATTCCACATGTAAGTGAGATGCTGTGATACTTGTTTTTCTCTGTCTGGCTTATTTCACTTAGCATAATACCCTCCAGGTTCCTGGATGCTGTCACAAAGGGTGAGAAATCCTTTTTTTTTCTCTGCTGCATAGTATTTCATTTTGTAAATGTACCACAGATTTTTTATGCACTCATCTACTGATGGGCACTTGGTCTATTTCCAGATCTTAGCTATTGTAAATAATGCTGCTATGAATATAGGGGTGCCTATATCCTTTCTGATTGGTGTTGCTAGTTTCTTAGGATATATTCCTAGAAGTGGGATCCCTGAGTTAAATGGCAATTCTATTTTTAATTTTTTGAGGAAACTCCACACTGTTCTCCACAGTGGTTGCACCAGTCTGCATTCCCACCAGCAGTGCACTAGGGTTTCCTTTTCTCCGCATCCTCGACAGCACTTATTTGTTGATTTGTTGATGTTAGCCATTCTGGCAGGTGTGAGGTTCTACCTCATTGTTGTTTTAATTTGCATCTCTCTAAGATTAGTGATGCTGAGCATTTTTTCAGATGTCTTTTGGCCATTTGTATGCCGTTTGGAGAAGTGTCTATTTGGATCCTCTGCCCATTTTTTAATTGGACTGTTTGTGTTTTGTTGAGTTATATGAGTACATTATATATTTTGGAAGTAACCCCTCTTCGATGTATCATTGGCAAATATGTTCTCCCATACAGTGGGTTCCCTTGGCATTTTGAATCTCGTTTCTTTTGCTGTGCAGAAGCTTTTTAGTTTGATATAGTCCCATCTGTTTATTTTTTCCTTTGTTTCTCTGGTCCTTGGCAATGTATCGGTGAAAATCCTGCTCCATGAGATGTCTGAGATTTTATTGCCTATGTTTTCTTCTAAGATTTTTATGGCTTCCCGTCTTACATTTAAGTCCTTTATCCATTTTGAGTTTATTTTTGTGTATGGTGTAAGCTGGTGGTCTAGTTTCATTTCTTTGCATGTACCTGTCCAGTTTTCCTAACACCATTTATTAAAGAGACTGTTTTTACTGCATTTTATGCTCTTGCCTCCTTTGTCAAATATTAATTGAACATGATAGCTTGGGTCAATTTCTGGGTTTTCCATTCTGTTCCATTGATCTGTATGTTCTTGTGCCAGAACCAGGTTGTTTTTATTATGGTGGCTTTGTAGTATAACTTGATAGCTGGTATTGTGATCCCTCCAACTTTGTTTTTCTTTCTTGAGATTGCTGTGGCTATTCGGAGTCCTTTTTGGTTCCATATAAATTTTTGAATTATTTTTTTCTAGATCTCTGAAATATGCCAATGGTATTTTAATAAGGATTGCATTGAATTTATAGGTTACTTTGGGTACTATGGGCATTTTAATGATGTCAGTTCTACCAATTGATGAACATGGTATGTACTTCCACTTGTTTATATCTTCCGTCAACATCCTGTAGTTTTTTGAGTACAGATCTTTTACCTCCTTGGTTAAGTTTACACCTAAGTATCTTAATTTTTTTGTTGCAAAAGTAAATGGGATTTTTTTTTAGTTTCTTTTCCTGAGAGTTCATTATTTGTGTATAAAAATACCATTGATTGCTGGGTGTTAATTTTGTATCCTGCTACATTGCTGAATTCATTTATTAAATCTAGTAATTTCATAGTGGAGTCTTTAGGGTTGTCTATGTACAACATCATGTCATCCTATATGATAAAAGGCTAATATGCAAATCAACCAAATGGCGCTGACCACTGGGGGCAGATGCTCAATGCAGGAGCTGATGGCCCCCCCCCGCCCTAACGTGGTCAGTGCGCTCAGCCAAAAGCCGGGCTCACAGCTGGCAAGCGCAGCTGTGGTGGTGGGAGTCTCTCCTGCCTCCGCAGGAGTGCTAAGGATATCTGACTGATGGTTTAGGCCCGCTCACTGGGGAGCAGGCCGAAGCCTTCAGTCGGACATCCCCCAAGGGCTCCTGGATTGCGAGAGGTTGCGTGCAGGTCAGGCTGAGGGAACCCTCCACTCCCCCCCCACCTCCAGTGTACAAATTTGTGCACCGGGCCTCTAGTTTGCAAATAATGATAGTTTGACTTCTTTTTATTTGGATGCCTTTTATTTTTCCTACTTGGACTTTCAGTACTGTGCTGAATAAGAATGTTTCTGTCTTGTTCCTGTTTTGGGAAAAATGCTTTTAATTTTTGCACATTGAGTATGATGTTGGCTGTAGGTTTGTTATATATGGCCTCTATTATGTTGAGATGTGATCCCTCTATTCCCTTTTGCTGAGAATTTTTATAAAAAATGGATGTTGGATTTTGTTGACTGCTTTTTCTGCAACTATTGATATAATCATTTGATTTTTTTTTGTCTTTCAATTTGTTTATGTGATGCATCACATTTATTGATATGTGAATATTTTACCAGCTTTGCATTTTGGAAAAATCCCAATTGGTCGCGATGTATATTTTCTTAATATATTGCTGGATCCTATTTGCTATTATTTTGTTGAGGATTTTAGCATCTATGTTCATCAGAGATATTGGCCTATAATTCTCTTTCTTTGTATCTGTTTTTGAAATTAGGATAATGCTGGCCTTTTAAAGAGAGCTTGAAAGTGTTCATTCCTCTTTGATAATTTGAGGAGGATAGGCATTAGTTCTTCCTTGAACATTTGGTAAAATTTCCCTGTGAGGTCATCTGGGCCAGGGCTTTTGCTTGCTGGGAGTTTTTTGATTATTGCCATGAGATGAAAAAGGTTGAAAATCGCTGTGTTAACCTATTCTCTTATCGAAGGACATTTGTGCTCTTTTCAATTGTTTGCTGTAATAAACAATGTTGCAATGAACATCCTAGCACACATCTCCCTGGGTGATTTTGCAACAGTTCCTTGCACTCACCTGAGTAGAATTGGTGGGTAGAAATATGCACACCTTCAACTCCATTTATGTTTGGCCAATGTACTGCCCAAAATATTGGTACCAATGTATACTCTCAAAAACAGTGTGCAGCGCTTACCTGAGCTTTGCACAGAAATTTGTGAGTGGACTCAAACAGAACTTGCATTTTTTACATTGAGGCATGTAGAGAGGAATCACTTTGTCACCTAGAAGGAAAGGCCGTATGTTGTTGGTGCCTGTAAACGTTACTTGTAAATGTTACCTATAAATGATTGCTACCAGATGAGTCAGTGGACAACATCATTCCTTATGACATACCTTTTATGTTCAGCGGAGTATAGGTGGCAAAACATTTTGTTACTCTAAAAGATTGCTGACTTCCCCAAGTATTACCTATATTCTCCCCTCCTCCCCCCTTGCTGGGCACTCAAGCAGCCAATCTGTATTGATACCATCAGGTGAAGAGTCCTACCTGAGACTCTGCTATCCTTGAAGCTCTCTACATCATAACTATTACTTATTATATTTCTAAACCCCCATGTGGAATAGGACATCCTCATATAACAGGAGAGGTGGACAGTGACAGACTAGATATGGAGCGTATATGTTAAACCATCACCACTGTGTTTCACCATTTGTTTTACTGTCAAGTTCCACATCTTCTACTTTTTATTCAATTTTGATTTAAAAATGGCTTCCATCCTCTGATGACCAAGGTCCAATAATAACTAACATTTAGTAGGTGCCGGACACCATTCTAACTGATTACTTATATATTGTCTCAGCTAATTCTCAGAACAACCCTTTGAGAAGGGTAGTATTATAGTCCCCACTTTAGAAACAGAAATCTGAGTCACAGAAGAGTGACTTAACTGGCTAAGGTCACAGAGCCAGTAGGTGGCAGAGCTGGGACTACATTAATGAGACTCCTTCATGGATGCAAAACTTTGAGGAGCAGTTGGTTTTTATGATCTTGTTTGGAATAGAATGATACTAATACGTATACCTCAAGGTTTGGAGCATCCTTATTAAAGGAAGGAAGAGTGAAATGGTCATCCTGTCTGACAAGTGAGGATTACAGAGCCCTTATTCCAGTATTTGGTGGAATATCTGTTATGAAATATGCAGTAAATAATTTCAGTCATTGGCATGTTTCATTTGCATGTCATTTTTATCTTTCAAACTTCCAGAAAGAATAACGTAGGCTAACATTGGCATATGTGTAATATTTCTCACTTAAGCTACTTACAGAATGAGCTACCTCATTCTTTAAATTCTTTATAATATTAAATTAGTTTTTTGGTTTATTTAGAGGAGGTTGTTATAAGTTGTCATTTATGTGTCCATGGAAGGTTCAGTTTAATCTAACTTTGTAGCTTAGCTTCATAGCACAGTTTCTCAGTGCTCTACTAGTAGGAAAATAAAGTGGCCATCTCCCCCAGATTTTACCAGACAATTCTGATTCAAGTATTCTGTCTCATTGTTAGACTGTGATAGATTGTGTTTCTCACTTTTGCTTTGGAAAAGATGGTCCCTTATGTAAACAGAGATCAATATAGCATGCAAAGCCAGGAATCTATCAGGATTATCCCTGAAATATCCTGACATTCCCACTTATTGGAATGAGAAAATAAAATACCTGGTTTGCAGTTGGTCACTCCTGGCCCAACACTTTCCACAATTCCTGCTCCCTCATGGCCAAGGATCACTGGGAACAGAGCTTTCGTAAATTTAGGATGGAGAATATGGGCATCGGAATGGCACAAGGCAGTGGCGATTATCTACAAAGCAACCGCATGCTGGAGTTATTTCTGTAATTACATTATTGGGGTTGTTAAGTGGGTAATTTTAGGATAATTTCATTTTCACCCTGAGACTTTACAACACTCTTAGAGCTCAATGAAAACATAATACTTAAAACACACACACACAAATTAAGATATATTAGCATATATTCTTTTCCTTTTATACCTTACTTTTCTGCCTTTTACTGTCATTGGAAAATCATAAAAAGAGATAAAATTGGCAGTTACTGTCTCCAGGAGAGGAGAAATCAAAGGCTATAGGGAAAATTTAAACAAAGTCTAACAGGCAGAGGAATGGAGAGAACACAGGTTTCTAGGCCTTGTTCAAATTTTGTTGAAATGACGTGAAATAGAGGTAATAAAAATTTTATAGTTAAAAGTGAGAGATCAAGTAAAAGATGGTCTAAATTAATTACTGCTGTATCTCTATATTCTTTTTCAAGATTCTGCTCATAGATATAACTAATTGCAATCCAATGCTAATTCCTTAATATGATTCTTAAGGTTAATGATTAATGTTAAGGTGCTTTAGTTAAATTTTAAGCCCATTATCAATGACTACTGATAAATAACTAATGATTTACCCCTCCTGGAGATAAGGCCTGTTTGTATCTGAACCTAAAGATACAATCGCCCACACTGAGAACTGCAGGGCTTCCCAGTCACATCACATAGGCGTGAATTGACAGAGCCAAGTCTGCACCTAGTTTGTGCCTAGTGTGTCCTGCCCAGGGCGAGTCCCCACTCACCTGAATTCGAACTTCATGTGCCTTGGGGGGAGCTACCTCAACCTCTTCTATGCAAAGGGGCTTGTTTGCTTCCCAGGCGATGGCTGCTTTGCATTTAATAACCTGGGAGAGAGAGAGGGACATAGGGAGGGAGGAAAGAAAGGGAGAAGTTGGGTTGGGGGTTGGGAGGGAGAAGGTAATAGAGAATATTATGGGGAAAAAATAAAAAGCATAATACACCATAACTTGTGGTTGGATGTTTTATATAATTATGTTATTTTGTAGAAAAGGGGATTATTGAAAATAAGAAATCATGATCTACATTGTAGTCATTGCACTTGTATTCCTTTTAAAAGACTAGTTTATTGATTATTTAGAGAGAGGAAGGGAGAGAACCATCGATCTGAGAGTGATCAACTGCCTTCCACAGGCCTTTCTTCAGGAATGGCACAGGCAACCCTTTGGAGCAAGGGATAATGCTCAAGCACCTGAGCCACACTGGCCTGGGTGCCCTTTTAATTTTTGAGAAAAACAGGTGCATTAAAGTTTACCTTAATATAATGCCTTGATCTTCCCCCCTTCAGTAGCAGAGGGGATAAATTCATAGGGTTTGGCCAATAAGTATTTGTTGACTGAATGATTTGTTATCAGCACTGAATTACCTGAGTCCTCATTGCTAGAACATAAATGTGATTTTACATGTTTGCTACTCATTGTATGATCCCCCTTTGGACCAGAAGTTATTGACAACACCAGGGAACTTGTTAGAACAACAAGACCTGTCCCAAATCCCCTGAATCAAAATCTGCATTTCAACAAGATCCAGGTGATTCATATGCATATAAAAGTTTGAGAAGTGAGGCTTAAATACTTAGTAAATTTATCAGTAGAATAAATAAAAATTAAATAAAAATTTGGTCACTGAAAGAATTTTGGGTAAAAATGTATAAAAGAAATTAAATAGTATTATATAAACGTGTTTTATAAATTAAGCAGGATTCTATAATTAAAATTTTATTTAGCCTCTTAAAATATTTTTATTGATTTCAGAGAGGATAGGAGAGGGAGAGAGACATAGAAACATCAACGATGAGAGAGAATAATTGATTGGATGCCTCCTGCTCTCCTCCTACTGGGGACTGAGCCTACTACTGGGCATGTGACCTGACCAGGAATGGAACTGTGACCTCTTGGTTCATAGGTCAACACTCAACCAGTGAGCCACACCAGCTGGGCTTGCCTCTTAATATTGTATTTTTAGTTTTAAATATAAGTAACATTGAAAGAAAGTAGAAAGAAACAAACTTATAATTCTCCATTCTAATACTACTACAGTATTTTTGCTTTTGATGTGATTTTCCTAGTCTTTGACAACATGAATATATATTTTTGACAGTTATGTAATTTTGAATTATTTTTTAAAATATCATTAATGTTATTTACAGGTGCAATAAATGTTAATTATGGAAAGTTTCAAAATACAAACAAGAAGAAAAGGAATAAAATCCACCTGTAATTTTGTGAGGTAAATCCTTTGAATTATCCCCAAATGGGATCTTATTGTATGTGATATTTTTAATCTACTTTTTCTACTTATTAATATACTATGAATGTTTTCCATATTCTTCTCTAACACTACTTTTAAGAAATGCAAATTCTATTTTATGGTTATAGTTACCCAAATCTCTCTCTTCTTTTGACAAATAAAAATATTTAATTTGACAGCCTGTTGTAAGCATTATGGCCAGTCTACAGTAATTTTATTAGCGTAATTTTCTAGCATGACGGGGTGCTTTTGATCAACTTTAAATGATTGCATTCTGAGGTTAACTTAAATGGAAGCTTTGTAGCAAAAGTACTAGTATACAAAAAAGAAGAATTGAACAAAGAAACAGTACATTTGCTTACTTTGCCCTTGGTGCCCATTTTTCTTTGGGAAACTCGCCTTGGAAGCTTCTCTCTGATTTAAGAAATTCCACTTCTGTCCAGGATGCTCTCTCTGTAACCTGGATTGAACTGCCACTGAATAAATACCATCCCTGCTTTTTTATTCTCCAATCACTTTCCCTTTTTGTTGCTGTGATCCACATCTCAGCCCATATTTTATCACGTCATTTGTGCTATCGTATTTCAGCTGCAAACAGCCTTTGCTCCCAGCCATTATTTGGAGGAGATTTTGTTTATTTGTTTTTTTCCCCTTTTATTGCAAAATATAAAATAATAGATAAAAGTTTATTACATGTACAGATGAGTTAACACAAATTATAAAGGGCATTTCCATTGCTCCACAATCCTTCCTGTACTCACCCTTTTCCTTCACCATCCTAATAATTATTTCCTTGCATTTCTTTTTGATTTATGCTTCTCTGTAAGTGTTCTTTAGTTTTACATCTGAAAAACTTTATATGAATGAAATCTTAGTGTTTGTATTCTTTCATGTCTTCTCGCAATTCCATGTTTTTGAGAAATCCCCCACATTGCTTGTAGCTGTTTATTTTCATTATCATTTATTTTCCTTTCCCTTTTCTTTCTTATGATGAATTAATGATTGCATAAAAAAGTTTCCTTAAGGAAAATTCAGGACTAATATGCAAACAGTACACACTATTATAGTGATGCCAACCTGATGGTTTTGGGTCTCGGGGACTCTGGCTGTGCTCAGTACAGAGTAATCCCTGGATGGCTGTAGGCAAGTACCTGGTGCCCCATCTGACCTTATGGAGCTGTGATCACCGATGCAGTGGGCCAGAGCTCCCCTGGAATCACACTTGCTTGGCTGTTTGTGGGAAATGGAGTGTCCCATAGTGGTTGTTAAGTATTTTGAGTAGGTGTGGAATTACTGCGTCTTCAACTTTGATAGAGAAGGCTGAAGTGTTTTTACAATATGGCTTTCCTTACCAGCAAGGATGTATCAGAGTTTTCACTGGGCCACAACCTTGCCTATGCCTGGAATTGCTGGACTTTATAATTTTTGATAATCTGTGGGCGTGGATTGATAAGTAATTGTTTTTAATTTGTAGTTCTGTAATCATTAATGAGAATAAGCACCGGCGGTGTACTGGAGCCAGCTCATATTGATTTTTGGTCTGCTTGTTCTATTAACTACGAGAGATATTTAAAAATAATTATTATGAATTTGTTCATTTCTTACAGTCACTGAAGCTATTTTTTCCATTGATTTTTAGAAAGAGTGGAAGAAAGAAAGGAGGGACATCAATGGGAGAGAGACACATCGATTGGTTGCCTCCTTAATTCACTCCATGTGAGTCCGGGGATCAAACCTGCAACCTAGGTCTGTGCCCTTGACTGTGAATCAAACTCATGTCCCTTTTGTGTGCTGGTCGAAGCTCTAACCACGGAGCAACACCAGCCAGGGCCTTTTCCTACTTTTTGCTTTACATACTTTGAGGCTTGATACTAGTATTTGCAAGTGTTCTTTGTTGTACGTATTTTTAAAAGTTTGACAATGTATTTTGCCATCTCTGTCAGCGTGTTTTTCTTTATACCATTTCTTTTTAATCCCATAGTATTCCACTATCTCTTCCAGACTTTAAGTGATATTTTATTGCAGAAGAGTTAAATGTTTCTAGTATACTGTTTGGAAGTATAATTTATACTCTTTGCTTCTACTTTCTCACTCCCATGTTTCACTTCTTAACTTCTTTTTCATGTCTATCTTTTAATTAAAACTATTTTTTTTTGCAAGTTGTTAGTGGTTTCATTTGTAACAAATAATTTTAAAAAATTTCTCTGTAACATTTACTTTTTCTAGCCTTTTTAATATTTTCATGAATTCTTTCCCTCTGTGGCCAACAGCGACAGTGGATGGATATACAACGATGTGGGTCGTCACCTGAACTCGTGTAATATTTCTGGCCAAGTATCAACAGAAAGGAGAAAAAGTCTGCATTTGTGACTGGATACAGAGTTTTCCAATGCGCTACAACTTAAAGAGACATTCCAAGCAGCTTAAAGAAGTGGGCTTTATTGGGGTAGAATGTAGGTGCTGTTGACAGCAAAACATTTTTGGGCAGACTCAGACCCCCCAAGACCTGAAGACTTCTCCAAGTTCTCAGTGTCAGTAATGTTACTTCCCACAGCAGGGCAGGTGCATGCTGAGCTGCCCTCAGGGAATAGAGGCGCAGAGCAGAGCAGAGCAGAGCAGAGTTGGGCGTCCTGCTCAGACTTGGCGAGATGGAGAAAAGGAGTGCCATGCCCTTGTCGGCAGAGGCGTCCCTGGTAGGACACGCCCTACTCTGAACCCTCTGTCTTTGTTAAAATACTCCTTATGATGATCAGAGAGGGGGCAGCCAGCAGTGGCAGTCCACTGGGACCCAGGCCCTTCTCTGGTTCTAATGCAGACAGCAGGTTGAATAAAACCAATATACAAGCCATTTTGTATTCCTAGGTGGGAGGGGGAAAGGCCCTAGACACAACTGTGCTTGCACAAAGCGCTGAGAATAAACAGCACGTCAGATGCAAAAACAAATTACTAGTTGGCATTGAAGCTAATCATTTTTCCTTGCTTAGTTGTCCGTTCTCTCATTAGGACTCCAAGAGTTCTGCTGGAGGCTAAAGGTTGGACCTGCTGAAGGAGAGAGCCCCTGCTCCCACTGGTGACACAGTTTGGAAGAGAAAGAATACGTTTGATAGCACCGATCCCCTCTATTTGTAGGAGGCAGGTACCCTGAAGGAAAGACAGGGTGCCCACCTCATGATGCTTCTTCTCAGTGTGGGAATCAGAGTCTCATGAGAGCCTTTTGACACCTGTGGTAGCCGTGACTGTAGCTCACCTTTCTGGCTGATCTGAAATCAGGAAGCGACTGGACTAGGTAAGACATGACATCTCATCTCCTGGTTTCCCGAGGTCTGTTGAGGTCTGCTGACCCACGGGACCCCCGTCTGATCTAGTGGCTTCAGATCTAGGGGAGCCCAAACTGCAGCAGAAGTGACCTTAACTAGGAAGGGAGCTCTGGTGTGTGTGCTGGAGAAGAGGGTTTGAAAGAGACTCTCTCTCTAGGGAATAGGGAAGAAGTCCTATCCCACGAGGGCTCAATCTTAACCCAGGTTCTAGGAGCATTACGAAGGAGTAGGGCAGAGAAGTAGGGGCAGGGGTAGATGGGGATTGGATGCCACAAATCACTGCTGGATCTTGTCTTTATCCCATCTACTACTTGAAGGAAAGAAACTATGATACACATTAGTAGTAACTACACACTATCCCCTCTTCCCTTGGAGAGTGGAATAAAAGCCAGTTTATTGTTTAATACCACAGCGGCCTCCTAGGGTGCATGGATCCTGGTAATTAATGATGCCCCTTTTCTTTCAAGCCCCTTTTTCTTCCTGATGAATTTTAGATGGCTTGGCTATGAAGCCACGTGACACAAACTGCTGCGAGCTAAACTATCCTGGCCAATTAAAGAAAAACTTAAAGTTCCTTTGGCAATCCACGAGAGAAGAGGTGAGTGCCATAGAAGTATTGTAAGTGATGGTTTGAGGCTGGGTTATATAAGATGAAACACCAGTAGAAGTTTCTCTGGGGTGAGTAATACTGAGAATGAAGTACTTAGTGTTTAACTGGGATTTATTGAAGTTGATGTAATAAAGTCCCCTTTCCCCCATCAGCTTGCTTTAACCTGAATGTTCAATAAACTCATGAGTGGTGAGTTTTGTTTCTTCGGTGTGAAATGAGTGGAGTTTCATGGGGATGAGAGACAGTGTGTGCAAAGAAACAGGGGCCCAGAGGTAGGGGCAAGTATGAAAATGGGAGTATCATGGGGTGACTGTTTGTTTGAAGGGTTTGGAATTGGGTGATTCAAATCAACCCTAAACTAGCTCTAACAGGGGGACGTTCCTGGGTGGGACTGGGTGACATAAGACCAATTTTGAAGAGGTGTTGAGAGCAGAAGTCAGATGTGAGCTCACTACTGAATGAATCAGAGGCAAGAACATAGAAACAGCGCTGTGTGGATAATTCTTCTAAGTCATGGAAGTTATACAGGATGCAATTTAGTTGGTGAAATATGCCGCAGGTCTTGCGTTCATTACATTGTACTTAAAGTAATAGGATACAGCGAATACTGAAAAAGAAAAAAAAAAGAAAGAAAAAAAATAAGTTGAAACATTTCCAAAGCAAACATTTGTCTTTGGGATTTCATATTTTCACTTTGTAGACCAGTAAGTAAGTTAGATTCCTTCTGTTCATGTTATGTGAAAAATGGAGAGATTAAATCAGTGTGAGATTTTTTTTCAAAATGACACCCAGCTCCAAGGGTGAGGAACATGTAAGCAGGTCTGTACCCTGTGGGGAAGGCCAGTGTCCAGTTGATGGCTGGAGTTCTGTTTGTGGGCCAAAGATAGGTGTCAGAATTTAGAATTCTAGGGATAATTCCCCCCTTGGAAATAGAACAACCATGGCCTCTTCATAAACTATGAACTCAAACTTGAGCTAAAATTTTGCGAGCTAAACTCATTGGTTAATGTGTCATATAAAAAATGCCAACTTGGAAATAAAATACGAATGGTAAGGGTAGATGAGCACTTAAATATTTTAAGGATTACATTGATAGACTGGGAATGAATTAAAGAGAGAGAGGAGATGCTTTACAGACTCCTGAAACCTTCTTCACTTGTCTGTATGTGGTTCACCAGCCACAACTTCCCTTCCCTGCCTCTGACTCCCACACCCCTTTCCCTTGCCCCAAACACTCAGACATAAAGGTTAGCGGAAGAACTTGCCATTTTCCGGTTTTCATGAACTCAACGGCTTCATTGATTTTATCAAGCTTCATAGTATGGGTAATCAGTGGATCTAGATTAAACTTCTTTGCCATATAATCTGAAACCAGTCTAGAGACGCTCTCTCTGCTTTTCCAGCCTGGAAATACAACAGATGAACAAGAGATTTTATTCATGAGACTCACTCTACACGAAGGGCCAGGTGAACTGCTGGAGGTGTTAGCTTTGACTGAGGAAATCTAAGGATTTCCCATTAACTTGTCTCAGTCATCAGGAGAATGCCTGTCCCAAACATATACCCTGTTCTCCTGAAAGTTTTGAGACCTCTGGTGCTATAGAGAATTTACTGAAAGCAAGTGAACTGTGGACCTTATCTCAGATGTTTTGGTGTCAGGTTGCACTGCCTGGGAGCTGGGAGCCCACATCTAATGTACAGGGTGTCCCCAAAAAGTGTATTCACACTTTAAGAGCTGATAGCTCAATTTTGAAAAGGAAATGTATACTGCCTTTGTAATTATTCAAAGTGTGTGAATACATTTTTTTGGAGGATATCCTATACAAAAAAACAAAAAACAAAAACAAAAAAACAAGGCCAAAGTCTTGGGAACTAGGAAAGAAAGCAATTCAAAGGTCAGGAACAGGACATTTTGTGTGTTGTTTTGGTCTGCAGTTTCATGAACGAGCCAAATATCTTAAGGGAAGAGAAGAATTTCCGCATGGCAGTGATCTCAGTGACAGTTTTTGGGAAAAAGAATGTGTACACAGCAAGATAAGAATAAAATGTTTTTTCTGGAAGTAAGAATTGCACAGGGAAAGGTGGGGTCAGCCAAGGGAACAGAAACTTAACATTGTATTTTCTCTGTTTTCATAATTTTCAAGAAATACTATTTTTACATTTAGGACTGTGCTAAGTGACATGCCAGCAAGTCACCACACGGAAGTGGTGGTCTGCTTGTTTCTGGAAGGGGTGAGTGTGGTGTAATTGTGCAAGGAGGCAAGTGTCCTAAGCAGCTCATCCTTTGACGGGATCTTGGTAGTTATGTGCTTTTCTTGGTTCCAGCCTGGGCCAAGTTCTTCAGTCTTCCCACCTATTCCTAAAATTACCTAAAAGTATTCCAAGGAGTGTATTTTGCATGTAAGTTGGTCTCTGATATATATAATCAAGAATTCTAATGTGCTATATGTCATGGCATGAAGGGCTAGTGTATTTTTCTATTTGTCTTAATCTTTTTTTCAAAAATTGAGATATCACTGACATATAACATTGTATTAGTTTTCAGCGTACACTATAATGATTTGATGTATGTATATATTGTGAAATGATTACTATTAAACTAAGTTTAGTTAACACTCACCACCACACACAGTTACAATTTTTTTTCTTGTCATGACAGTTTTTAAGATCTGCTGTCTTTGTTTTTATGTTTTGCTTGGTGATATGATAAAGCATTTTCATATCTATATAAGGAACACTTTCACTTTTTTTTCTTTGTTTTGTTTCTTCTTTCAACCAAACAATCCAAAAAGGAAGGCCCCAGGAACACAGACTAGGCCAGGCAGTGTTTCTTAACAATAGCATTAATGGCATTTTGGGTGGGAAAAGTCTTCCTAGTGTATATTGCAGGAAGTTTAGCAGGCCTGTTCAACACCCATTTAATGCTACCTTTAATTGAAAACTATTGAACCAGAGAAAGGAATTAACTTCATGATCATTATGTGAATGTTTAAGTGGCTAGTGACATATTTCTATATGAGGATTATTTAAAATATTGGTGACCTTATTTTACAAGAGTTAGCTGAGTATTTGCATTTGTAATCAGCAGTTATTGTCTGTAAACACAATAGAGGGAAACAACAGTGTGTTTGTCCAATGATCCCAAATGGAGGAACTGGAAGTACAGTCTAAACTGGATTTTTGCCTTTTTCCCTGGCTCTGTCATTTATCTACTTTTTGTAAAATACCTGTAAGAAAACCCTACCATAGCTAATTTGGAGGCCACAGCTAGCTCACTAGTCCAAATAATGCAGATGGCTCCTAATTCTCATCTCTTTTGCCCAAGAATTCAGATTGCCCAAAAATCTCTGGCTAAATATATTTTTTCTTAAATATTAGATTACTTGTTTATAAGCACAGGATCCTAAACAGATTTATTAAATTTAGCTTCTTTATTCTTTTTCATAAAAGACTTCTAAAATATATAAAATTTTAAAATAATGTAAAAATCAAAGTACTTTTATGATTTTTTCTCAAAAAATAAATCTCATTTTCTTGTTATCAGCAGTATTTCTTTTTAGTCATAAATCTATCATGTTTAATATAATTTGAGTTGATACAATGACAACTCAGTTGTTTCATATAAGATTTACATTGTTGAACATTGACCGCTAACAGTTCAATATATCCTTCAAAGAATGCCAGTTGGCAGGTATATAACTCAATTGAAGTATAGTTATTGATCACAAAATTGCCTTTCCTTTTCAGTTTAGAATTTGCATTAAACTTTGGACATTGGCTTCTTCCCCAATCAATTTTTTAAAGTCTCTTCTCTCTCTTTGCGAGAAAAAGCTTACCAAGAGACAACTGTAGATATCCAATACCCATCTCCCTGTATTGGATATTGTGAACACAAATATCCAATACAGGGAGATGGGTATTGGATATCTATGTTGAAACAAAAACTGTAGTCTAAAGCTCTTGTTTTATGTGCCTTCTCAAGCATTTATGATACATTTATCTATTATGCCATCTCCAAACCCCCACACATTTCCACTCTTCCTTGCTTCATCCATACCTCCAAAAACAGATCCCTTCAAAGAACGTCCTGAGAAAAACAAGTAGCCATTGATGTTGAGCTGGACACCATAATCCAAGAGCCCAACAATCACGCAGACTCCATGGCTCTCATGGCAGGAGGCCAGGGCAGCTGCCTGTTGGAAAGCAATGCAAGACAATGCAGGGGTTAAAAGATGTGCCTCAGAGATAGGGACTTAGTCTAAATCTCAGCTTGACTGCTGAATGGTCTGTGACCTTCGTTTAGGGCTTTCTCTGTCCTCATTTGAAATAACATTTTTCTTACAAGGATATGCTGAAACATGAATAAGATATTGTGTACTGCCAAGTATGTATAATATTTGGCATTTTAGATTAAACAGATAGAAATTTAATAATTAAAATACTGATATCTATGGTAGTAATAGTACTATCAGTACTGCTACTACTAATTTTAATATGAACCATTACTGATATTGATGGTTAGAGTTGACATCTTTTCAACATAAAAGAGTACAATTGGATATTTGCATTACATCATGTATTAGCAAAGCGATCAACTAATGTTCCCATTAGTTATTTTGAAAGGCTATTTCTCAGAGCCTGACTGTCTGTGGGAAAGATTGTGAGAAAGGTTTTCTTGTATCTTTTAACAGAAGAGGAGATTTGTGGGCAGTGAGGAGTGAAACGATTTTGTAAGCTGAAGAAAGGACCTCGGCTGGAGGAGGCAGTTCTTGGGTTTCTATTCTTCTGGTGGAGCTGTACAACCTGACCTTTACATTGCTTCTACAAATTTCCCAGGAAAGCAAGTCTCAAGCTGCAAAATAATTTCTTCTCCATCCATATTCTCTTACATCAACCACGTTTAGCCAGAAAAACAACATCTTTCTTCTTTATTTTTGAAATGAGTCTATTTAGTCAAGATTGGTAAATATTTTTCTTGGAAGCTTCTCTCAGATCCAACCTGAAAGACTGCTGTGAGTGCAAAGCTCACATTGCTTTATAGGATCATTCATCCAATATTGTCCTTATCCTGCCTAAATCTTCTGGCTTAGAAATTAAGTGACTGGGCTTCTGCTTATTACGAAATAATCTCTTGAGAATTCTTAACAAGGCCTTTCTGTCCTGCTTCTTGGATGTTGTCTGCTTATTTGAAGGGACTGGCATGATTCCCTTATGTCACTGAGGGGAGAGAGAGAAGAAAAACACAGTATGGGGGTTCTAGGGGAATGAAGAGATTTGTAGGAGTGGACAGAGGATATCAGGTGGGATGTCATGAGCACAGGAAAATCAAATAGAGGAATGTGGAAGAAGTTTTAGAATTTTTATTCAAGTAAAATCTAAAGTGATGATTGGTAGAAATTTGGTAATTTTCATTCCAGAGGATTACATACCACCAATTCTGGATTTCCAATGACCTCAAAGCAAAATTCCACACCAGCGCCTGTCATTTCAACTAAAACATCTTGGATGGGTTTCTTGAAGTCCTGTGGGCTGATGCACTCGGTGGCACCCACTTGCTTCGCCTTCTCAAATTTGTCTTTGTTGATGTCCACCCCAATGATCCTGGCTGCTCCAGCCGCTTTACAGCCCATGACAACCGACAGGCCGACTCCTCCCAGGCCAAACACCGCACAGGTGGAGCCTGGCGTCACCTGAGCCCGTAAAAGCATAAAACAAAAGCAAAGAGAACACGCACATTCACTCAGTTGGAAAGACCAAGTCTGTATATACTTTTATGAGATGTAAGCAAAGGATATTTTCAATTAAAACATATTATAACTAAAGTTGTAATTTCTCAAGGTATTTCTAAGTGTGGAATACTTTTTTGCCAGAGGAGCAAAAAAAATTACCTGCAAATAGAACATTTCAACTGAGGAATTAGCATGGGTAGGAGCAGTTTAATGACCTTTTTTTGAACCTTAAGACTTATTTGGCACAGTATTTACTTGATTTAGGATATTTTGAGTTCTTTAAAACAATCTCCAAATTCCTGCAACCCTTCCTTTCTCTTTCCTTGGGAATATCTGTAATCTTTCCATTACTTACATTGCCAATGCCTTACGAAGACAGAGGTTTATTTCTTATTGGGTCCCAAAAGAGACTAATTTAAATTGAATCCCTCCTATCCTATCGCTTTGTATGGTATTGGGACTAATGAAAATTGGGGGGGGGGGGAGAACTAAAATTCAAAACACAATAAAGAAATGGGGGTTGCAGGGATTGAAAACAGTATTTGTATGAATTATATTTACTTGAGTTTGAATATTTTAACTAAAAATTAACAAAGTAAATTTTAAGTGGTCTAATACTCTAAAAGGGAATTATTCCTGGAGATAGGATTTTTAGTTGATGGAATGAAACATTTGTCATAATAATAAATTAAATAATCCAGGTACTAATTAGGAGATGAAAAATCACTATTCTTAGTTTGAAAAATATTCTGTACATATATTTATATTCTGCTGCCTAAGAACATACTCCAGAATGCAGAAACACACATTTCATGGCATTCCATGGCACATACATACCATGGTGTCAAGCCGACCAACAACTTCAAATGAAAAATCCACACCTCCACCGCTCATTTCCTTCAGCACCTCGTGGATGGGTTTCTTGAAGTCCTGTGGGCTGATGCACTCGGTGGCACCCACTTGCTTCGCCTTCTCAAATTTGTCTTTGTTGATGTCCACCCCAATGATCCTGGCTGCTCCAGCCGCTTTACAGCCCATGACAACCGACAGGCCGACTCCTCCCAGGCCAAACACCGCACAGGTGGAGCCTGGCGTCACCTGAGCCCGTAAAAGCATAAAACAAAAGCAAAGAGAACACGCACATTCACTCAGTTGGAAAGACCAAGTCTGTATATACTTTTATGAGATGTAAGCAAAGGATATTTTCAATTAAAACATATTATAACTAAAGTTGTAATTTCTCAAGGTATTTCTAAGTGTGGAATACTTTTTTGCCAGAGGAGCAAAAAAAATTACCTGCAAATAGAACATTTCAACTGAGGAATTAGCATGGGTAGGAGCAGTTTAATGACCTTTTTTTGAACCTTAAGACTTATTTGGCACAGTATTTACTTGATTTAGGATATTTTGAGTTCTTTAAAACAATCTCCAAATTCCTGCAACCCTTCCTTTCTCTTTCCTTGGGAATATCTGTAATCTTTCCATTACTTACATTGCCAATGCCTTACGAAGACAGAGGTTTATTTCTTATTGGGTCCCAAAAGAGACTAATTTAAATTGAATCCCTCCTATCCTATCGCTTTGTATGGTATTGGGACTAATGAAAATTGGGGGGGGGGGGAGAACTAAAATTCAACAGCCAATTAAACAATGGAGGTTGTCAGGATTGGGTGATGTTCCAAAACAGAAGTATAACAGTAACCCACTCAGTCAGAGTGGGGTTGCCTGACCAATCTGTTGTATATAGCAACACCCCTTTCATGAGTTGATCTTCCTACTCTCCTTTTCTTTTCATGAGCATGGATCACCACCTGATGCATTGTACAACAGAATAGAAGCTTGATGAGTTTTGATAGCTGCTAAATCCCTACACCTGCAACAGTGAATGACTCCATAAATATTTGTTGAATGAAAAAAAAGAATGAACTGGAATATGGAAGATACATAGCCATTTTGTGACTGTGTTATGTTTAACTCCAGTAATTCCTCATGTCTCCACTTGTGAATGGCATCCAGACATAATTTGGCATTTACTACTGACTGAGAGGGAATGGGACAGATGTTGACGAGGGTATGGGATGACTAGATTGTAAAGAACTCAGGGATGTTTCAAGGCAGGTTTGTGATTCTTCCTCAGGTTGAATGATCAGATATGGCCTAGATGCATGAGGCCTATCAACACCATATACCAAGAGTTCCAATCACAATGGGTATAAATGCTTCTCACCTTGGCAGTATTGATTGCAGCACCGTACCCAGTAGAAAAACCACAGCTAATGAGGCATACTTTCTCCAGAGGAGCCGCTGCATCGATCTTGGCAACTGAGATTTCTCTTATCACTGTGTATTCAGAGAAGGTGCTCGTATTGGCAAAGTGATATATTGGTTTTCCCTTGCAGGTAAATCTACTGGTACCATCAGTCATCAGGCTGGTATACGACTGTCTTTTGTAGACCAAAAAACAAAAAAAGTTTTTTTAAGTTTGAATTAGCAAGCTTATATTCCTTCCAAGGACATTCAATTAATTTTTCAAAAAGAAAATATTTAGTAAAAACTTACTTGAGTTGTATACAATAGTTGTCTTCAGAATTAAGGCATGAGGCACACTCTCCACTCTGTGGTAGAAACAGTGTGACGACTTTATCACCTAAGAGAACAAAATCATTTAATACGATGTTATCTTTTAAAGTAAAGAGATAGCTGTTTCTCAAAGTGTAAACAGCAAGGCACCCAGGAAAAATATGATTCCTGAGAGCAATTTCCACATTCAACTGTGTTGATACTGTGGAGACTATGAAATACCTACAGAAAGAAGAGATGTCTTTGGCATCTGGGTCTCCCTGGGCTCAGTGCTAAATCCCTAGGAGCTGAACCCAGATTTGCCTGCTTTGTAATTTATTCTGAAGCTTCAAATGGTAGCCATTAAGCCCAGTCTTATCTTTAATCTTCCACACTAACGTCTGATGTCAGGAGTTGCATTTGTAAACATGGATACCACATGTTCACAATATAAGCTTCTGGAGCAAGGAAAAAGGATTGCCTATATGCTGTGCTATGTATTTTACATCGGTTCTTTCTTCTTGGCCATGGAGACTAAGGTAAGTAGATTTCTCGAGTAATATTCAACATAGAAGGAGAAGATCAGAATAACTTGCCTAAGATGGACTAGAATTCTGACTGCTCCAGTGTCTATCACTGTAAATTAAAGTAAGTTATTTCATATTTTTAGTTAAAAGCCTTTGTAGGATGTAGTTCTTTTATTTTTTATTTTTTAAAAAGTAACACAGACATACATATGGTAAGAACTTAAACTACACAAATGTGAAGATTAGCCCCAGTCTCCAGTTTCCTTTCCTCCACCCTAGAGACAATTACTCTTCTTAGAGTCTATGGTATTTTTAGAGATATAACCCCTTTAAAAATGCAAAGGCTAGCATATTATTTACCCTGTGGTAGGCCTTGGTTTTTGTATTTCTTTGTTCATTTTCATCTGAGGATATTTTAGAGAGACCCATTGATTGGTTGCCTCCTGCACATTCCCAACCAGGGCCAGGAAATGTGCAACCCAGGTATGTGCCCTTGACCGGGAATCGAACCCTCAGTCCTTTGGTGCACAGGCTGATGCCCTAATACTGAGCAACACCAGCCAGGGCTAGGTCTTGGTCTTTTACTTAACAATATAACTTGGAGATTTCTCATTTTAGTACATATAGCACTCTATCGTTTTGATTAAAAGTTACATGGAACTTTGTTGTATAGATATATCATAATTGATTTAACTGGTCTCCTGGACATTCAGGTTATTTCCTGTCTTAAAATTTTTGTTTTGTTTCGTGTTTTCCCGACATGATAAAAAGCAATGCAATAAATATTTTGTGCACATCTGGGCGATGGTAGGCAGAATTTCTAAAATGGTCCTCCAAAGACATCCTGTCCTATTCCCCCTAAACTGAACTCGTTGTTACTGTGACGGTGACTATGTTTGTAGAAAGAGGAGCTTTGCAGATGTATTTAAGGGTACTAATCTATTGACAGGAAAATGGGGAGTACCCCGGAATCTTTAGGCAGACCCCGTGATCACATGAGCCCTTGAAAGGACGCCAGAGGAAAGCAGGAGAGAAAGACAAAGCAATCCAAAGCACCGGAAGGATTCCATGTGCTATTGTTGCTTCGAGGCAAGTGGGTGAAGGGGCCACATAGGAAGGAATGTGAGCAGCTTCAAAAGCTGAGGATGATCGGTCAATCCTACAACCTCAAGGAACTGGATGCTCCAGAGTCTCCAGACAAGAACCCCGCTGGCCAAAACCTTGATTTCTTCCTTGTGAGACCCTAAGCAGAGAACTCAGTCCAACCCATCCAGACTTCTGACATACAGAAACGGAGATGGTAAATTTGTTTTGTTTTAAGCTGCTAACTTTGCAGCAATTTTTTTTTTTTTTTACATCAGCAATAGGAAGCTATGACATGGGTATATATCTATGGAACAACTTTCTAGAATTGGAAGTATTGGGTCCAAATTAGGTGCATATAAATCAGTGGTTCTCAACCTTCCTAATGCCGTGACCCTTTAATACAGTTGCTCATGTTGTGGTGACCCCCAACCATAAAATTATTTTCCTTGCTACTTCATAACTGTAATTTTGCTACTGTTATGAAACGTAATGTAAATATCTGACTTGCAGGATGTATTTTCATTGTTACAAATTGAACATAATTAAAGCATAGTGATTAATCACAAAAACAATATGTAATTATATATGTGTTTTCGATGGTCTTAGGCGACCCCTGTGAAAGGGTCATTCGACCCCCAAAGGGGTCGCGACCCACAGGTTGGTGACCCACAGGTTGAGAACCGCTGATATAAATGATGTTACATATTGCCAAATTTAAAGTTGTGTAAAATTACTTTTCAAATAATGAGCTACAAAGAAGTTGGTTGCCTACACTCTTATCAACCTTACATATTATCAAACTTTAAAATCTTTCCTAATCTGTTAGGTAAACAATGTTTTACCATTGTATTTAAAAATTATATTTATTTAATATGTATATATTTTCCCCTCCATACTAGATCGTGTATTTCCTTTGCCCATTATACTGCCGGGCTGTGTGTTTTTTTTTTTTTTTAATTGCTTTAAAAGAATTCTTTTTTTTTTCTCCCTTTGCCTCTGTACCTCCACCTGTACAATAGGGGAGGTTAATAGTACTTACTTCATATATTTGTGATGAGAACTAAATGAGCTAATATTTGCAAAGTGCTTGGAACAGCATCTGGTTCTTAATAAATGCTAAGGGTTTGATAAATAAAGAACTTTATAAATGTTGACTGTTTAGTGTTTAATATCTGCTTTCCCTTTTATGATTGGTGCTTTGAGTGGGTTTAGATGGAAACCACAGCAGGAAATCATTTCTTTATGGAGGCTGTCACTATTTTTTGTCTGGACAATTGTATTGAACTCCTAAGGGGTCTTATTTCTAACCTCCTCTCTTTCCAGGCCCTCTCATCTATTGATTGCTATTGGTAGCTCTGGTCATGTTGCTAGTTTTTTTTTTAAAAAATGTTGATGGCTTTCTATTTTAATTGTGAGATTTCACTGAGTTTCTGCCAGAAATACCTTTCCTAACTATACATCTGCCATGAGATCTATAAACTAAACAAACAAGGCACAAGAGAAGATGTCTTTGAAGACTTAGCCAGGAGTAGCTGCTGATCAGAGTTTTCTAACTTACAATTGGATTTTTAAAAAAATTTTAATATCATGTGAAAATTGGATTAAATGAGTAAATTTTTCATATGTCCTCCTTATTAATAAAGTGGTTCACCAGGTTAAGTTAATTTGCATTTTATTTTATTTTTTAAAATCTTTATTGTTCAGATTATTACAGATGTTCCTCTTTTTTTCCCCCCATAGCTCCCCTCCACCCAGTTCCCACCCCACTCCAGGCCTTCTCCCCCTCCCCCCGCCACTGACCTTGTTCATAGGTGTAAGCTCTTTGTCCAATCTCTTCCCGAACCCCCCACAGCCCCTTCCCCCCGAGGATTGTCAGTCTGCTCTCTTTCCATGCCCCTGATTCTATTACATTCTTAGACTGTTCTGTTCATCAGGTTTTTTATTCATTTGATTTTTAGGCTCACTTGTTGATAGATATGTATTTGTTGTCACTTTGTTGTTCATAATTTTTTATCTTTATCCTTTTCTTCTTCCTCTTCTTAGAGAATACCCTTCAGCATTTCATATAATACTGGGTTGGTGGTGATGAACTCCTTTAGCTTTTTCTTATAAAGCTCCTATAGCTTTTTCTTATTTAAAAAATTTTAATATCATGTGAAAATTGGATTAAATGAGTAAATTTTTCATATGTCCTCCTTATTAATAAAGTGGTTCACCAGGTTAAGTTAATTTGCATTTTATTTTATTTTTTAAAATCTTTATTGTTCAGATTATTACAGATGTTCCTCTTTTTTTCCCCCCATAGCTCCCCTCCACCCAGTTCCCACCCCACTCCAGGCCTTCTCCCCCTCCCCCCCCCCCCGCCCCTC